TCCGAGCATCAGCCACTGCAGCGGGCTGAGGCTTCCGAGCATCAGCCACTGCAGCGGGCTGAGGCTTCCGAGCATCAGCCACTGCAGCGAGAAGCCTGACATCCTGACCTTTCGGACCAAAGTTGACCACAAAGGGAAAAGTGAAAGTGGGTCATACCCTCTAGCAACTTCCTCTTCAGATCCTCAATTTCCTTCTGGAACTGGCGCAGGAGGGCATCCTTGGGGTCCTCATTGATTCTGGCTTTATTCTTGATGTTCTTGGCACGGTTGGCGTAGCGCAAGGTACTGATGGTCTCGTCGTAGTTGTAGTCTGCTGGCCCGATGTTGGCACACTAAAGAAGAGTGTAAAAAGCTGTTTCACCATCTGAAGTGAAATGTATTACATATTAAAGCATTTAAATCTATATATCAGTCTGTATTCAGATACAGTTCAATAGTCTGGACCCATCCACTTAAAATCATTTATTTCTCAACAAAATAATAACTTTAAGCCCCCTCGAGGTTATGTAATAAGTACAATGGCCTGGCCCCCATTATCCACCCGACCTAAACCCCGCAGAGGTCTGGGATGAGTTGGATGGAAGAGTAAGAGCAAGGAGGCCAAATTGTGCCCAGAACTTAGGGAAACTTCAGGACTGGAGAAGCATTCCAGGGGGCTACATCTGGAAAAGCTGCAGTGCTGTCATCAAAGCAAACGGGTGCTATTCTGAAGCGGAAAATTAAGATGTTGAACATTTCTCTTGGTCAGTGAAATATTTGATGTGTATTACTTAATTGCCTCAAGTCCTTTTACTTTAAGGTGAATAATGTAGCTAAAATGGAGACAAATGCATTAAAAGCAGGTGTGTCGAGACTTCTGACTGGTACTGCATGACCTCAATAATAGAAAAAATATATAATTTATTCAATGTTATTTTGACAAGCAGAAGACCCTTCAGAAGATATTCATCAAAAAAAAAAAAAAAAATCACACTATAACAGTAATGGGTTTGATTACAGTCATATCAAGGACTTTCCCGTTACCATCATTGTCTTTGAATTCCCGCCCAAAGAGTCCTGCAGCAGCCGGGTGAGTTTGGAGTTCCTGTACGGAACGTGAGTGCTCTTGCCATCCACCAGGGCTGAAATTACGTTTCCCAGGGTGGACAGGGACAGGTTGATTTTTGTGGCCTCCTTCAGTCGCTGTCCAGTGGCTCCAGTCTTCCCCTGCCTCTCAGATCCCTGACGCCACAGACACGGGAGATCAGAGCTGCCTCTAAGGATATCTCAACAAGAAAGCCAGATTCAAGCCAGAGATTCACATGTGTGACATCAGCAGCACGGAGGGACTCACAGCCAAGTCTACAAGATGGAGTTTGCCCATGCGCACGTGCTGGTTGCCGTCAACGCCCTTCTCGCTGCACTCGATCGTGATGGTAAAGATGGCGTGGGAGCGTGAGCTGTGCTCGTTCATATTTGTGGCTCCAACAGAACCTTTGTATATAAACAACTTTTAATCCATTTTGAAATGACCACCTGAAAACATGGAAGAAGCATTTCTCTAAAGCACCAAGGCTGGGCTGACTCCTCCCACAAACAACAAGAGCCGTTCCTCCCACTGACCCAAACAGAGTCCTTGGGACAGCTCAACTAACAAAGTGCCACACGTTTTGCACCCCTTTGGGACTCACGGTTCTTGTGCCCAAGTGTCATGATCCTGTCCATGTCATCAGCATTGTTGACCACATAGCCCGACAAATCCTTAATGTACACGCCCACATCCGGCCTTTCCTTTACCTACAAGGTCAAAATATCGATGTAAACATGGACATACATGTGCATTATTATTAAAACATGCCAAAATGCATAAAAAGTTCACCTTAAGCTTAGAGCCAGACAATGCTGATATAGGACCAGATATCTAAGTAAATATTACAAAAAAACAGAATGCAGATATGCTGCAGAAGTTGCACTGTGAATTCCTCCAGAATTCTAGGTTCACTTTGAACACCAAAAGTAAAATTTCCACTGTGAATGTTATGAAGCACGACATCTTCGGCTGATGTCTTCCAACTTCTAAGTGATAGAAGGATATCAAAGTGATCTCACCTCTAACCTCTGCAACTGGTCCTTTCCCAGTAAGTCTCGAACTTCTTCATTGTAGATTTCCAAGTAGGAAACTCGAACCAAGAACCTGAAGCACAAGGAGCCATGACATATACCGAGAGTAAGAGTGACTAATTTTTTGCCAAAAACCCAAAAACAAAACAAAGTACAGTGGTACCTCAGAACTCGAACTTAATCCGTTCAGAACTGCGGATCGAATCCTAAAAAGTTCGGGTTCTGATCGAGTTTTCCCCATAAGAAATAATGGAAAACCAATTAATTGGCTCCCGGTCCCAAAAAATGACACCTAAATATGTTTTTTTTTTTAGCATTTAAACACAAAATGAACCAGATAAAACAACAGGAGCATATACTGTACTAAACACATCTAAGCACATTTATCAAAAAAGTAATTTTTAAAGTAAGAAAATAAATGTATCCAAACAATGTGTAAAGTAAAAAAAAAAAACAATGTGTCATGCCCCGATTGTCCGCTCCTTCTGTGTGCCACGCCCCCTCGTTAACCCCGTGTGATCAGCTGTTTCTGGTTGTTGTCATTAGCCCTCTGTATTTCGTTCGCGTTTCAGTTTGTTTCCCCAGTCCGGTCATTGTATTGTCTGTCTGCGTTTTGCCTGCCTTACCTGTAATTAAACCCCGTATTCCCCGATACCCTGACGTCTTCGCCTTTGTCTCCATTCCGTCCCCGCTCAGGATGACAATATTATTATAATTAAATGTATTAATGGTTTATTATTAATATTAAAATCATTAAGATTTTTTTTTTTTTATGTATTTTATTATATAATAATAATTACTGTTATGGTCTATCATTGTCTAAATGTGTTTTTACTGTCTAAATATATGTATTCAGCTAGTGTAAACATGCACGGTGCTATCACAGCGAATGTGAGGCTGAGACTGAAGCGTTACCCTTTGTTTCTGCTGAGAGACGTGCCGCGTGACTCATTTCCCCGCGCGTACAAGATATCTTAGGTCGGCGTTCACGGTTTGACTTCTGAGATTCAGATCGAGTACTAGGTATTGTTTTTCCAAACTGGTTGGTTCGACTTTTAAGAAATTCGAGTTCTAATGAGTTCGAGAACTGACGTACCACTGTATATACAATACATTTCTATATAACATGATAATATTCCCAAATAAAATACAAAACTGCAGTCTTATTAAAAATGATCAATAGAGAACTGCTGAAATGGGGGGTGGGGGGTGGCTTAGCAGGTTGCACCCCCGTGCCTGTGGGCCAGTTTGAGCCCTGACCCTGGCAGAATGTTCACATTACCCTGAATATGTGGTCTGACTGACTCAGCCCCAAGCTTTGCTCTCAGCTGTGCAAGGAGAACAAGAAAGGATGTACAAAGCATTCCAGTATACCTGTACTCATACCTTTGCAAATGACCAGTAAAGGGCCCTTAAAGGGTGGCCAGGTCACAGAGTACCCCTCCCCCCCCACACCCCCCCAGTACCTGGTATCTCCTTCTGCTTTGGCAATGTGGCCAAAAATGTGAGCAAATGAGTTTGGAATAATGCCCCTGAGCTCAGGCACTGCTCTGACACCCTCCATGGTGAACGTCTTCCCGGTCCCCGTCTGACCATAAGCAAAGATGGTTCCTGAAATAAAAACCAGGTAAACAATTATGCAATACATTTACTTTCAAGTATGCAATACATTTACTTAAAATTGTTTTACATGACTCAAACTTCTAAAATATTGGTGAGTAGGGAATTTTATATTTTATATTTTATATTTTTAGCGAAAAGACGATCGGCAACAGAGATATACTAAAACTAGAAAATTAAACTTTAATTTGTCAGTATCTCAACATTTTAAACTCTCAACAGTTCAAACAATTACAAGAAAAGAGAAACCTTCAAAACAAATGCCTAGTCTAAGTGTTTAATGGTCTTGCCACAGAATGGCCCAATAAAAGCGTCCTCCTGACAATAGCAAAACAACAGCACTTCCATTGTTTCAAACAATAGAAGTGCTGTTGTTTGACCTCAATGAGGGTCACTATTATTGGACCACCCTACAAGAGACTACTTGCTCACAGTGCTCAGGATATCAGGATTTGGCACATTGACGATCTCTGACAGTTTTTGAGGTGAAAAAAACGGATTTTTTGAAAAATATAAAATATTTAAAAAATCGAGGCGGCACCAAAAAATTGAGGCGGGCGGCCATGTAAAACAATTTATTAATTTTAAGTGGCCTTATCAGAACTCAATCAAAAAAGGGCCCAGATACCAGTTTTAGCCACATCAGCATCACAACAAGAGTCATTTACCATTATAACCTTCCAAGACCGAGTCGATGATGGGTCTGGCCGTCAGATTATAAACGTCAAGCTGCTTGCTGTCAGGCCCGAAGACGGTGTCAAACGTGAAGGTCTTTGGGGGCTCGTTGGGGGTGTCTGCCCTGTTGACGGTGATGCTGCCCCGGATCTCGTCAACCAAAACCGCCTGCTTGAAGCCCATGACTTTCTCTTTCTGGTTGAGGGGGCGACACCGCACCACCACCTTCACGTTGTCACTGACCTCTACCTTCTCCCCTCTCTCAGCCCTGTGACCCTGTCGGGGTATGGAAGACATCTGGTGAGATGGCCAACAATGAAAATGCGTTCAAATCGTTATAAATGCGGGTTTCCATTAGATCTTAGAGGGATAGATGGCAAACGGGGAACACATCTGGAAATGTCATGCCAAACGCAAACATGCACAGTAATGTACGTGGCAATTCATACGATCAGCGTCCATTCAGCTAGTTATAACTGGAAAAATAATACGACTAAAATGACACTAAGATAACACTAATATTAAAAAACGAGCAGGAAACCGCCTTATTCAGCTATGAACTGACACTCACCATGAGTACATTACAGCAATATCGAGCAGGTAGGCTAGTTACAGTATCTACGCGAGAACAACAGTCCTCTTAATGAAGAAAATAACTTACCGGCATCTTCTACAGTTATTAAGAGGTCAGAAATATTCTAAATGACGAAATATGTCGGTACTAATAAAACAACGCACTGAACGTTATCCGGAAAAATCGTGGCTTAGCTCCATTACTACCTGATCATTTACACTGACACAAACGTCTGCGCATGCGCGCTGTTTTGTTGGTTCGTAACCATCTGACGGACGCAGAACGTAGTCAATCACAGGAGGGGACTTTGCGACGTCGCACCCTCAGCGAGCCAATCATACCGCACGTAGCTGGGACTATGACATCACGCCGAAGTCGGGCCCATTTTCCAGTGTTATATTTTTTATAGTGTTGCTATTTTAGGGGGTATAGGGGAATATGGGTTCCGGCTTTTGTGGGTTTGCTCCTGATTTTTATTACCGCATATCCTCTGTCTGACCAACTGGTGTCAGGCAAATTATTTCACTGCTAATGAGCTCAATCCCCATTCCCCGCATTAGTATTTCTGTTTAATCATTTGTTGTTTTGTTTGATGTAAATTTAATATATTTTCTAGCTATATTTCAATACAGATCGTGAATTGAAATGGAAATATTTCGTTTAACATTTTATTGGATTATTTTATGTGGATTATATATATTGGGGAACCCTTCATTTATTTATAACAAAAGCATTCATAGTTATATTAAAATGAATAGATCTGATGTGCAGTAGTTCATTGATGTATTATGAAAGTAAGACATTATAACTTGGTCTTAAGGTAATGAATGTATACACCAGCTTCTCTGCGTGGCTTGCATGCTACCTTTTTCTGGCCTTGGCTGTCTTCTTAAGATGTAACATAAATATATATATTTCTAAAAGTGAACTTGAATGGCCATCCAATAGGCCTAAGTGTAAAGTCTGACAGCATATGGCTATACAATTTATAGACAAATGGCATTACTTCAGTAATACCAACTAGGATAAATAGTGCTAATAAGTACTACAGGTTTAATGTCTCGCGGACTTCGCTTGTTTTGATGCCAATAGATGGCACTGTTCTGTAAAATGAACTGCGAACAGCTCTACAAAAAAATTAATTAAAAATTATCAGGTGCCGAGGTTTTTTGAATGGATTTATGGTATTTTGAGGGTGCTGAATTAAAAAATTCCATTACTTTTGCTGAAATTTTTGAGATAATGGACATCCATGAACATAATCCATTCCCCCAATGTGACTTGTGTGTGATAAATGCAATAGCTTTTGGTCTGTCTTTTGACTCTTTAACAGTGTCTTAGGTAATGACATATCCCATATAATTATTGTGTATTTCAATTTGTAGCTTGAAATGTGTTCTCTTGCACAGTGGTAACCGTTATGCGTCTCTTCCCATTTTTCGCTCAACAAAACTTAAAGAAGAATATGAAAATGTAAAAATCGTATTACAGAAAATCCATTATCATGTACATCAGTGGTCGATCTGTGTTGATCTGAAGATGGTGAACTTGTTGCTTGGACAGCAATCTGGATACACAGAATATCCATGCTTCATGTGCCTCTGGGATAGCAGGGCAAAGCAAGATCACTGGACAAAAGTGTCATGGCTACCGGGAAGAAATGATTGTTGCCGCTCCGAATATCATCCACGAGCCGCTGGTGGACAAGAACAAAATCATTCTCCCACCGCTTGATATTAAGCTAGGATTTATGAAGCAATTTGTTAGGGCTTTGGACAAAATGGGCAATTGCTTCAAGTACATTTGTAGATCATTCCCTGGACTGAGCATGGAAAAACTAAAAGCTGGAATCTTTGATGGTCCTCAGATTCATATACTCATGAACAATTACAGTTTTACCAAATGCATGAATGACACTAAGGCTTTGGCCTGGAAGAGTTTTGTCTCTGTTGTGAAGAACTACTTGGGTAATCGCAGAGCAGACAATTATGAAGAATTGGTGCAAGATATGCTTGCTAACTTCAGAGCATAAAGATGCACCATCTCCATAGCCATTTAAACGGATTTCCAGATAACCTTGGAGACTTCAGCGAGGAACAAGGCGAGAGGTTCCACCAGGATATGAAGGTGATGGAGGAGAGATATCAAGGCAGATGGGACATACACATGATGACAGACTACTGTTGGGGTCTCCAACGTGATTGTGATGACACACATAAAAGGAAATCGCATAAACAGCATTTTTTTGAAGCATTAACATTAATAACAATTAATAACTAATTAATACTGTATTCATTAATCAAATCATACATAACTTTTTCTTGTCACTGTTAGATATTTTTAATTTCTTTTTTGTATGATGTTAGACTGTTTACTTACTAGTTGTAACTAAAATAAAAATATTCTTGCAATTCTGAATGATTTTGATGATGATCAAACGTGTTGCGTTAATTAATTAATTAACTATTAAACATATCAGAAACTTGTGTCAGTCTGGCAAAACCGAAGTCATATTCTTAATCAGCACCATAAAGTTAATATAAAATCATTCAGACATCATTTGCACCAAAATCACTGTATACCACTGTAATTTGGAAATTATTTTAACCTGTTAAATTGAATAAGCAATTTAGTGGCGTGTTCATTCCCAAAGTAACTTAAATTGATTACGTGTTTGTTTTATGTTTGTACTGCTATCACTCAATAGAAGTTGTATAATAAATACTGATTGATATCAAGAGCAGATATTGAACATCCACATTATATTAGGCCTGCTATCTTCTGTCTTCTATATGTCTCCTGTTTTCCTTTATGTTCCATAAGTAAATTGCATTAGGACAGCAAATACATACACTACCAGTCAAAGGTTTTTTGCACACACTGAGATTTGCTACATTTGCATGTTACGCACTTAACATTTACTAAAAATACACTCAATATTCTTTGCTAATAAATAAATGTACAGTATTTTCGCCATTTGAGTACCTTTATTAACAAGAAAATGTCATATCTTTGAGTCAACAAAGTATAGCCTCCTCTAGAAGTTATAGCAGCAGAGAAAATGTGAGGCATTCTTTCTACAAGGGGCATTAAATACTGCTCTGTTTCATGGCATGAAATGGTTAACTAGCGCATTTAAAGTTAAAGAACTGCCTAGAATTTGACTACCATCACAACACAGCCAGTTAATAGGATTTCAGACATGCACTGTTAGTTACCCTGTCTGTGTTATAAAGGGAACTTGTTTTATTAATTTTTATTTTCATGTATAGTTGTTCACTCAACTTTCCAGTGCTTAACTAAAATTAAAAATCTGCAGTTTATGAAATAAATGGAAAAGTGGTAAAAACCTGTGGTGTTTAAGAACTTTTGACTGTATATAACTATTTTCAGGTCATTTCACAGCATAATCATAATAGACAATGTCAGCTAATTAAGCGGAAGAAGACTGAAAACATTAACTTCCATACATTGATATTATCATCAGCCTTGTGTGTCCTTCAAAAATTCTCCTAAAGTAGTCAGTCCGCTGTCTGTCTCCCCATTATCTCTCCAGGTATTCTTATTGTACAGCATACCTGAATTATGCATGTATTCTATTATGCTGTCCGTCAAGGCATTGAATTAAACAGATGGCCCTCACATTGGACTTTATCAGCTTAGCACTGTCTATTTCAGTCATAAATTTAGTTGATAGTAGATTTAATGTACTATTTCAAAATTTGAGGTAACCTTTTATATATAACTCTACCCAAATAGAGTTACCAGCACATCACCAAAAATGCGTTCTGATAAATTATATTATCAAAAACTCCCAGGAAATATGGATCAAAGCTCGGTACAGCAAATGAGGTTGTCAGGGTCTGAAATGTGTATATGGTTAGTTGGTGAATGCAGATGGGGGACTGACCCAGAGGACCCTAAAGGACTCTGCTGAGTCACCCCCATCTCTTCCTGCGCCATCCCTAAACCAGGTGCTTCGCTAAGGGGTAATGCTGGCAAGAGGTGAAAACATTTAAAGGCATCAGTCCTCTTTGTTAACATCCATTATTTAGATAAGAAGAGGTATCGGGCATGCATCTGCACGCTGCAGAAGGCGAGTAAAATGTATTTGCACTTCAATGCAGTGTCTAATTACCTGCATCTCTTCTATCCATCTTTCATGAGGGGATCCCACTGTATCGCACTGAGCCAGAGAGCTTGATTGTAGCGAGCAGCAAAAGTGACAGATCAGTGTTTCCCAAGCCGGTCCTCGGGGACCAACAACCGGTCCACGTTTTTGCTCCCTGCCAGCTCCCTGCCAGACAGTCCACATTTTTTTCCTCTACTGGGAGCTGGGAGGGAGCAAAAACGTGGACTGCTGCAGATCCCTGAGGACTGAAAGTCAGAAAAATAAGTTTTAAAAACATTCCTGCTTCTCACAGTGAACAAATAAAAATCAGCATTGCAGATGGTGATCTGGGGATTAGTGTATGTACTTGTACTGTATAGTGCATGGTGGGGGTTGAAGTGATTCCCCCCGGTACTGTAAAATATTTTGGGTATCTTGAAAAGTGCTATATAAATGTGACATTCATTCATTCAAGAAGGACCAACCTTTTCAAGGGTAGGGATGCACCCTCAGGCCTGTCTGAGGAGAGCTGTGGTCCAGGGTGAGCCAGCTGAGGCCGACATAAGCCAAGCAACGGACATCACTGCGCCTACTACTGTTTGGTCACTGTAATACAGATGCAACTATAATGAAGAATAATGGGTGACAGTCTACAGTGTGACCTTTCTGGACTTTATGGAGCAGCCAGCACCAAACAGGACCGTAGCCACACAGGTCATGTTAGCCTAGGCTATGTGATCACATGTCTAAGGTAGGATTCACAATAAGTGTATATTTCAGTCCATATTTAATAGGGGTGTAACGGTACGCGAAATTCACAGTTCGGTACAAACCTCAGTTTTCGGTTCACAGATCGGTGCAATTTCCCTGCCCTTCGTGTCTCCTCCCCGTTTGGCCAGCAGGTGTCACTGGTCATCCTGTCCGCCTCCCTGTCACTTGTCCCTGAAGCCCCTAGTGTGTTTTCCTTTGCCACCCAGATTGCTGTATAACTCAGTGGGCCAAGTGTGTGGCTCAGAACCAAGTACCTAGCTGGTCATGGGTTCAGGGTTGGCCTCTGGCTAGCCTTATCTGATTATTAGTATCGAGTACCTAGCTGGTCATGGGTTCAGGGTTGGCCTCT